CCCCGTAGCAGGCCCTGCAACATCCAGTGTAGAACTCGCTGTTCCTGTGGCCCCAGTGATGGTCAGTTCAAGTCCTTCTGGCTCCTGGCAGGTGGCTGGGCTCTCAGCCACAGACAAGCAGCCCCCCACCCTGCAAACTGTTCCCCTAAATCCTTCCCACAAAGGGACCCATATTGCAGCCCCTGCTGCTTTTAGGAGCCTGGCCCCAGCTCCCATGCAGGTCCCCACAAGCTGCCCCCCAAGTACTCTTGGACAGTCTCAGGCCTCTGCCACATCCCAGAAACAGGGCCCGCCCCTTCTCCCAGCAGCCCCCAGCCCCACACAGCTACCTATGCAACCCCTCAGTCTACCACCAGTTCTTGGCCCACAGGCAAGTGGGCAGCCCCTGGCAGCCAAGGCCAGCCTGCCTGTCAACTGGGTACTCACAACTCAGAAGCTGCTCTCTGTCCCAGTACCAGCTGTGGTGGGCCTCCCCCAGTCAGTGATGGCCCCTGAGACTGTAGGACCACCAACAAAACAGCTACCTTCCCCTGCCATGACTCCTGCTTGCCAGGGACAGCTTCCAGTCAGTGCAGACACAGAACCCAAAGGTCCTCAGGGCCACGAAACACCACCCACATCTGGGCACGAAAAGAAGACCCTGAACCTAAGTCTGCTTTCCCAGGAGAGTGAGGCAGCCACACTGGCGTGGCTGAAAGGCTGCCAAGGCGCTTGTGTGCCCCCACTGGGGAGCAGGATGCCCTATCAGCCCCCTTCACTGTGCAGCTTGCGAGCATTGTCCAGCCTCCTCCTCCATAAAAAGGACTTGGAGCAGAAGGCTTCTTCTCTGGTGGCCAGGCAGGCAGCTGGGTCCCAAACTGAGCCCAAGCCTGGAGCCCTACAGACTTCCTTGGAACTGGTACAGAGGCAATTCCGGGACAACCCAGCCTACCTCCTGCTGAAGACACGTTTCCTGGCTATCTTCTCTCTTCCCGCTCTCCTGGCCACTCTGCCTCCCAACAGTGTCCCTACCACACTGTCAGCCATGGCTGTTGGTTCTGAAAGTGACAGTGAAGACCTTGGTGATCTGGAACTCAAGGACAGGGCCTCGCAGTTGGACTGCCCCACCTGTAGAGTACAAGCGGACCCAGCAGCCACAGCCGCCATACAGGTAAGGATGCTGGGGCAGGCAGACGGGTCCTGCAGTACCTTGCCCGCCTGTGTGTGTCTGGCTTGCTGGAAGTGTTAAGCTGGGCAGGTGGAAGTTCTGTGGGTTTCTGAAGGAGGAGGAAGCTCGTCCAGTCTGCCTAGTTGGGAACAGGCTTAGCAGAAGCTGCCTCTCCTGGGCTGGCTGTAGCAGAAGAGGGAGACAGCCTTCTACTGTGACAGCCCCACCTCACACACATACCACACACCCAAACTCAAGGTAGAGAGGCAGGCCTGACACGTGACACATGAGATGGGCTGTGGGTACAGTGGAGGTGAGAGTTGCCCTTGTTTGTGCTCTCGTGGGTACAGAGTTCCTCCCAGGCATCTCTTGCTCACAGAGCTAGGCCTGGCAAAACTGTCTGTTTCCCATAGGACCCATTTCCTGCCCTTCCTGGCTACTCCCAGGGAGCCCTACCTGGCCTCTTCCCCGCAAGGGTTAGACATGTAGAACCTTCACGCAGCTGTCGCTCCACACCTGGTCGTGCTACCTTAGTTCCAAGGGGACCTGGGAATCTGTCTCCCTTGCTTAGCACCTCAGAGCAGGAGAGTGGTTACCATGGGATTGCCTAATGGTTGGAGACCCTACCCGAGGGGCAGAACTGCAGAAAGCTAGACCTAGCTGCTCCCATGTACCTGTCCTGGAGAAGCATATGCTAGCAACTGCCTGTCCCTGATGTTCGGGCTGGTGGTGGGGGGGGTTGTCCTCCCTTCCCCATTGCCTGCCTGTTCTGGCTGTCATCACTCTTGTCTTCCCTGGCCTGGCTTTTTATTATTTCAGATAGGTCCTGGTTCTGGTGAGGACTCTGCCCCCTCCCACCTGAGTACTTCTGATGACCTTGACGTGCTTAGGACACGGCGTGCTTGCCATTCACGGACACGGAGGCTGCTGTGAGCCACAAGGTGAGTCGCTATGGAGCCTGCCACACTGCCACCAGGAAGACACAGAATCCAGAGTATGGGCTTCCTCAACCTCCCACTGAGCTGAGGCCAGGATAGCGCTATCAAGTCTGAAGCTGGACTTATGCGGGCAGGTCAAAGCTTCTACCCAAAGGCTGGACTTATGCGGGCAGGTCAAAGCTTCTACCCAAAGGCTGGACTTATGCGGGCAGGTCAAAGCTTCTACCCAAAGGCTGGACTTATGCGGGCAGGGCAAGGCAAGGCTTCTACCTGAAGCCCCATGTTGCTCAGTGTGCCGCAAGGCCTTGGCACTATTCCGTCTGCCTGGGTTTTGTCCCCTCCCTGGGGTGTCAGCTCCTCAGAGCATCCTCTCTGACAGCTTGTCTTGGCCTGAGTCTCAGCTGCTCCCCACATGCAGCCCGTCAGCATGGTCACCTGCTTGTGGTCTCTGATCACAGACTTCAGGCTGTACCTTGCTTTCATTGCTGAGTCCCTGGGTTCAGGCCAGAGTAAGCAAAGAAGGCATTGGAACTGTGAGGGGTGGGTGTCTAGGATGTTCTCGTTGGCTTGTGAAGCCACCATAAGTTGTGCTGCTTGTCCTCAGTGCAGCGCCAGCTTATGCCCTCAGCAGTACCACCTGTGGGTCTGTCCCGGAGCCTGGGCCAGCTACGGTGAGAACACTGTCAAGAGTATCCCTGTGTTTCAGCACAAGGACTCAAGGGGCCAGAAACCCACTCTTACACCAGGCGAGAGGCAGGGCCGAGGCCTGACCACAAGTCCACAACCGTCTGTGAGAGGAAGCGGAGGCCAGGAAGCTGCAGGCCTGCAGAGTAACCTGTCTGCAGCCAGCAACAGGGACTCTGACAACAGTGACCGTATGGTCACAGGCTTAACTGCTAACAAATGAAAATCCATGTATTTGAAGAAATAAAGTAAATGTCTATTTTTTTACTTTAAAGCAACGCATAGCCTTTTGTGGTTTTTGTCATCTAGGGCTGGGTACCCACCAGCATCTAAGGATGTGGTCACCTGCCAGTTCTGAGACTCCCACACCCTTGGCTGCCCATGCAGCCCCTGCATCCAGTACTTTTCCATAGAGCAGGGAGAATGGAGAAACAGCTCTTCTTCCATTTCGTGAAAATGTGTCAGCTGGCCTATACCTCCGAGGTGGGGCTCCTAGAACCAGCATCCGCCACAACAGCAGTTCCCCTCATGATGGTAGGCATGTCTTTGGCATGGACCCAAGACCCGATTGGGTCTAGCCTCTTGCTTTTCTTAGTCACTGTTATGATCCCGACTCTCTGAGTCCCGAGCCCCTTGGCTCTCTAGGAGTGGTTCTTACGTGTGCTTTATCCTCTGTTGTGGGAAATTTCCAACTCAGAGTGAAAGGGTAAGTGTGACCAACCTGGTCCTGGTGCTTGTACCAGCTGACAACAGGTGATCACTCTTGGAGCCAGCAGATGGCTCATCATGCGTACTGCTCCAGCTGTGGCTGCCCCCTACCCCTGTTTCAAGGACATCAATACATCCAGGAACCATCTTTTTAGTGACTCTCTCTAGCTTCTGCCTTAGATGTCTTCATTTCGGAGTACTTGGGAGTTTTTCGGGTGTCTTTGTACTATTGATTTCCTCCTCAGTTTTATGGCCGAGAGCTTGGCATTTTTACTAACACTTTAAGACACTATGATGTGTGTTTTTGCTATTTGGGGACACAGAGCTGTGAAGGCCTGGTGCTGGCTTCCCTGGGGTGACTGCAAAGCCGTGAACCCCTCTTTGCCATCCTGGAAACCCAGGCAAGGCCCAGTCTTTAGCAGTGTGGCTCCCAAAGGCCAAAGAGGGTAGAAAGAAGAGCCAGCAGAAGGGTTGAAAGCCACAAAGGAAGGGACCAGTTGGGGGCTCACGACAGCACTGGGAGTTTTACCTTAACGCAATCCAACAGGCCAGGCAGCAGCACCTGTCAAACAGCCACACTGGCTAAGCAGGGCTGGCAGGTCCCCACACCCATCTCAAGCAGACTCTTGAAGGGCCACCCTGAAGTAGAGGCTGTGACACAGTCCATAAAGGACTCTAGCTGCCTATAGCCTGTGGATTTGGACCAAGCTTTGTCCTGGTGCCTGGTTGGCTCTGCAACTCCCTGGATTAGCTCTAAGTTGACCACAGGGTGGAAATGCTCCAATGATGGAGATGAAGGTTATTGGGAAGTCATATCTCTATTAAATGCCTTACTGTGGACTGCCAGCTCTGGTGTGGCCGGAGCTTGTGAGCTCAGGGTTGTGGGTAAACCCTTTACCCTGTAGTCGTGACCATGTCCTGCTGCACCTATCCTGTACCACTGTCCCTAGATGTTAGAGAGGGTCTGAGACACGGTGCCATACTGGAAAATAGTTTTAGAAGCCTGGATGGAGGAGGGCCTGGGACCACCCATCCACACACAATGCCAGATAGATGTTCAGCTTCTCTGTCGCTCCAGGCCCCTCATCCTAGGCGTGTGGGCAGGCAGGGAGGGCTCCTTTGCTCCCTAAGCACTTCTACTTCCCTCTGTTCTCTTCCTTGATGGGCCAATCAGAAGGTAGACCAGAAGGGTAGAAAGAAGAGCCAGCAGAAGGGTTGAAAGCCACAAAGGAAGGGACCAGTTGGGGGCTCATGACAGCACTGGGAGTTTTACCTTAACGCAATCCAACAGGCCAGGCAGCAGCACCTGTCAAACACAAGTACTACATCTCCCATGATTCCCCCGGGGCAGGGCCTGCGTGAGCGGGCGTGGTCTGCGTGAGGGGAGGGGCCTGCGCGAGGGGCGGGGCCTCCTGTGGGAGGACTGGCTGGCCTGTGGCGTCAGCCAGAACTCATCAGGAAGTGCACAGCCTTCTCCAGTCCGGGAGCATCCATCCCCACACTCGCAGAGACCCAGGCTTCTGGTGTGCTCATAGCCCAGGCAGCATCCCGCTGGCAGGCGGCTCCCACAAGACCCTGAGGTAAGTTCAGCTAGTACCACTTCTGGAAGGTGGGTGGAGCCTGTGGCAACTCTGCTGGGACTCTCCTGGAGCTTATACCCAGCAGTCAGTCAGCGCCTACCGTCAGGGGGCCTCCATTCTCCTCCAGTGCTGGGGCTGTGTGGCCAACCATGGGGCTGGAATGGCAGGCGATTGGCCCAAGTTTCCGAGGAATGTCCTCTGGGTCAGCAAGAAGGTGCCACAGGGTGCTGAGAAGTGCTTCTGAAGGTGGCCACGGCTAGATCTGGGGAGCCAGCTTCTCTGGGCAGGACCGCAGTGTTTTCCAAGGGCTGGAGACTGGGCTGCCTTCACTCAGCCCTGGAGTCACTGAAGCCACTCACTAAGACGTCACCTGTCCACGGTGGAAGCAGTGGGCAGTCCCACATGAGTGCTCCCCTGTGAACAACTGACCTGGTTGATCCCCAACATGTGGCCAGAGGCCAGAGGTCATCTGGAACAGAAAAGCACAGGGTTTGCTGGTGCCCAGCTCCCGAAAATCTGGAGGGGAGTCATAGCAGATGTCTGAAGACTGATGGCATTACCTGCCCTTCCCGTGTACCCAGCCTGGCAGGAAGAGAGAGATATTCCTACGACCAACCCTCACTTGTCCTCCCGGAATAGCTCCATGTCATGGGCAGCTGCCAGGGGGCTGTTGCATCACTGGCTGGGTACAACGGAAGGCTTGAAGGACACGGGGCCTGTCAGAGAATGAGGAAGTCACACACAGGCCTGGCTCCCTGGCAGAGTGAGAAAGCCTCCAACCAACCTGCCTCTCAGCCCCAATCTGGACACTAGCCAGCCAGAGTCCATGCCACCCAAGAAGGTGCCATGTAGGACTGCTAGTAGGGGCAAAAACTCCTCCGTACACTCATCTACCTTCAGGGAGGGCCAGAGCACTTTAGGGTAGAGGGCAGAAGCTAGTGACAGCCATTGTACAAGGAGTTTTCTCTTAGACCCAACCTGTCCCTTCCCTGACATAGCCAGGGGTGACAGGGGCAGGACAGCTGCTTGGGGAAGGTGAGCTTGACAGGGTGGTCTGAGAAGGGGCTGTCTGTGCAGCTCGGCTATCCCTCAGAAACCGCGGAACAAGGATGAGGCTGAGCCCTCAAATTTCCCTAACATGAGTGGCTGTGTCCCTGCCCAAAGCCGTGGCCTGGCACTCACAGGCCTGGGTCTCTCGTAGGCTGACTGCTGCTTTTCCTCCGCTGTCAGCACAGCCCACAGAGGACATGTCAGACTACGAGAATGACGACGAGTGCTGGAGCGCCCTGGAGAGCTTCCGGGTGAAGCTCATCTCCGTAATCGACCCCTCACGGATCACACCCTACCTGCGCCAGTGCAAAGTCCTGAACCCTGATGACGAGGAGCAGGTGCTCAGTGACCCCAACCTGGTCATCCGCAAGCGGAAAGTGGGTGAGGGCTGCTCCCATGCCGGCAGGCCCAGCCCGAGTCCCTCATGATCCCTACAAGACACGTGGCCAGAGGCTGCCCTGACCTTGTCCCCACCCAGCTCCATCTCCACGTAGGATGTATGAGCGATAGAGCATCCACTCCCCTCGTCATTCATGCTTACCTGGGGCCACCCAGAAGGAAGAGGAGTTCTTACCATTGTTCAGGCCCTGAGAGGACTGCGAGAGTGAAGGCAGAACCCTGCCCTGCCTAGACTGAGTCCCACAGGGTGCCTTATGTGATGGCCCAGAAGTGAGGGGTGGGGGTTACACAGCTTGGGATCTCTACCCAGAGCAGTCCTCCACCATCCCACCTGGACCCCAGAGCGTCTACATACCCGGACCTTGGCCTTGATCCCGTCTCTTCCACCTGTAGGCGTGCTCCTGGACATCCTGCAGCGGACAGGCCACAAGGGTTATGTAGCCTTCCTTGAGAGTCTGGAACTCTACTACCCGCAGTTATACAGGAAAGTCACTGGCAAGGAGCCAGCACGTGTCTTCTCCATGATCATTGGTGAGAGGCACAAGAGGGTTGGTGCTATGGGCAGAGTCAGGTGCCGCTGGGTCCCGGCTTCTGTGGTTGCATCAGAGTGAATGAGTCTGACACAAGCCCTACGGTGTATATCAGGGTAGTGGTACCGAGTGACTGCTCTCAGCTGCTCAGGGTCAGGGCTCCCCGGCTTGTTGAGGTCCTGCTGGTCTCCAGAAAGAGAACCTTTCTTTGATTTTCCCATCTTAAGAATAGTCACTGAGAAGCGGAGACCCCTCAGAAGTGCCATTATCACCTAAGGGCAAAATCCTACAGTTTCTAGAGGGGACAGAAGTGTTGTCTCCTGATAGGGTAGCCACATCCCTATCAATCCTCATTCATCTCATAAAGACCATTATAAAAATAGAGAGCCAGGCATGGTGGCACACACCTTTAATCCCAGCACACTCTGGAGGGAAAGGCAGGCAGATCTCTGAGTTAGAGGCCAGCCTGGATTATACTGGATTATATAGTGAGACATTGACTCAGAGAGAGAGAGAGAGAGAGAGAGAGAGAGAGAGAGCGCAACTGGCACATGAATGGTCCCAGTCAGGTCATCTGTAAGGGGCAGCAAGGCAGACTGGGCCTAGTGAATACACTTATCCTGAGGGAGCTTTCCCGCCAGCTTTCTCTCTGCGGGTGACCAGCACTGCTCCCTCTGTCCCCACACTGCTGGTCTTCAAGCACACACTCCTGGAGGACAAGAACAGGGTCTGCAGGTGACGGCCACAGGCTCCATCTGACACTGCATGGTCCCCAGATGCATCAGGGGAGTCGGGCCTGACGCAGCTGCTGATGACAGAGGTCATGAAGCTGCAGAAGAAGGTTCAGGACCTGACGGCACTTCTGAACTCCAAGGACGACTTCATCAAGGAGCTGCGGCTGAAGGACAGCCTTCTGCGGAAACACCAGGAGCGCGTCCAGCGGCTCAAGGAAGAGTGCGAGCTGAGCAGCCGAGAGCTGAAGCGTTGCAAGGATGAGAACTACGACCTGGCCAAGCGCCTAGCGCATCTCAGTGAAGAGAAGGGCTCCGCGCTCATGCGCAACCGCGACCTGCAGCTTGAGGTGATCGCTGGCCCCATCTGCAGGAGAGTGGGGTCTGGAGGAGCCTGCCACTCACTGACTGGACCTCCCACAGGTGGACCGGCTCAGGCACAGCCTCATGAAGGCGGAGGATGACTGCAAGGTGGAGCGGAAACATACACTGAAGCTCAGGCACGCCATGGAGCAGCGGCCTAGTCAGGAGCTGATGTGGGAGCTGCAGCAGGAAAAGGACCTGTTACAGGCCCGGGTGCAAGAGTTGGAGGTCTCTGTACAGGTAGGGCTACCAGCAGTGCACACCAGGCTTCATTTCTGCGGGGGGGCTTCAAGCGGGGCACACCAGGTGGTACAACTGCAGTGGCCAGGCTTGTTGCCCTCTGCCACCTCCAGGAGGGGAAGCTGGACAGGAACAGCCCCTACATTCAAGTGCTGGAGGAGGACTGGCGCCAGGCCCTGAAGGAGCACCAGGAGCAGGCCAACACCATCTTCTTCCTACGCAAGGACCTCCGCCAGGCTGAGGCCCTCCGGATCCGGGTGAGAGACCAGGGCAGGCAAGCAATGCCCCTGGGTATGCGGAAGGTGGGGTCTGGGATCTACCTCGCTATCTCCCCTTCACCAATTCCTGGTGCACGGTCATGTCGTGTCCACAGCTAGGGTCACCCTTTGGGTTACAATGTGACCAGTGGTGGCTGAGGCCAGGGTCTCAGACCAAGCTGGCCGACTGTAGCCTGGGACTCCAGCGCCCTTCCCATCATCCCAGCTAGCCTGATCTTGTGCACTCTGGAGCTGTTGTCCTGAATCCAGCCCAGGGGTCGGGTGGGCAGTGGAGAGTGGGTGAGGCTGAGTGGTGCTCCCTGTAGTGCATGGAGGAAAGGGAGCTGTTCGAGCTGCAGTGCCAGGCCTTACGCAAGGATGCCAAGATGTACAAGGACCGGATCGAGGCTATCCTGCAGCAGATGGAAGAGGTCTCCATTGAGCGGGACCAGGTAGGTGCCACGTTTGTGTTCAGAAGATGAGAGTGAGAGACATGTTGGGGTGCCGGTGCAGTAGCTTTTGGAGCTGTGGTCAAAGCAGCTTTTGTTTGTTTACTCTTGAGGTAACTTCAAAAGGTAGGACCCCGGGCCTCTCGTACAAACACAGGAAAGTCTGTCTTTCTCACAGAAAGAACTTATGAAACAGGGGAGTCCCAGTGGCCCTTGTGCTGGTTAGGGTAAGGATGAAGTTGGAGACTTCAGTAGGGGAGAGGAAGTTGCTAGCTGCACAAGTGGGGGGTGGAGGGCAGGCATTGGGTAGGAAGAGCTGGTGGTAGCTCCCTGGCATAGGTGGTAATAGTAGTAGCTCAAACCTGCAATTCTAACTTGGAAGTTGAGACAAAATAATTACTGTGAGTTTAAGGCCAGCCTGGATTACACAGTGAGTTCCGAGCCAGTTTGGGCTACAATGGGAGACCTTGTCTCAAAAAGCCAAAAACAACAAAAAGTAGTAGCAACTGAGCCAGGTTTGGTGACACATGCCTGTAATCCCAGGCTTTGTAGAAGCAGGAGGATCAGAAATTCAAGGCCATCCTCAGCTACATAGTAAATTTTAGGCCAGCTTGGGATAATGAAACTTTCTCCCAGGAAACAAAAGAAAAAGCATGGTGTTTGTTTTAAGAAGAGTCATCAATCATGTTCTTTTTTATTTCTCTTTCTTTCTTTTCTTCTTCAAGACAAGGTTTCTCTGTATAGTCCTGACTGTCCTGGAACTAACTCTGTAGTACAGGCTGGTCTTGAACTCACAGACCTCTGTCTGTCTCTCTGTCTCCCTGGTGCTGGGATTAAAGGTGTGTGCCGCCACCACCAAGCATTGATCATGTTCTTGATGTCAAGCTGCATCCAGGATTTACAAAAAAATGCCACATGGATGGAACAGAGACACATGCTATCTACTAGGGACATGTGACGCCTCAGTTGGACTTCCCTAGGAACTGCCTTGAGCACTGATCACAGAGAGTTTTACTTTTTTGTTTGTTTTGTTTTTTGTTTTTTTGTTTTTTTCGAGACAGGGTTTCTTTGTAGTTTTGGAGCCTGTCCTGGAACTAGCTCTTGTAGACCAGGCTGGCCTTATACTCACGGAGATCGACCTGCCTCTGCCTCCCGAGTGCTGTGATTAAAGGCGTGCACCACCGTCACCAGGCTTACTTTTTAAATTAATTTTATTTATTTATTTTTTATTGTTTTGAGACAGTGTCTTATGTAGTCTTGCCTCAAACTCAAACTATGTCCAAAGAGGACCTTGAACTACTCCCAAGGATGCTGGGCATGCACTACCCCACCCAGTGTCTGTTCCTTTGTACTGAGAGCCCTGGCCACTTTGAGAATCCCTCCAGTTCAGCAACTCCAACTGCTCAACAGGTGGCTGACATCCAGCCGGGACCTTTGGTAGAGTGGGGTCTCTACTGCCAAATAAAAGCCAAGAGCCTCACTGGTCAGGTCTCTTGCTCCTCCTATCCCTACAGGCTATGACCTCGAGGGAAGAACTGCATGCACAGTGTGCCCAGAGCTTTCAGGAAAAGGACGAGCTGCGAAAGCAGGTTCGAGAGCTGAGCGAGAAGGCGGACGAGCTGCAGCTGCAGCTATTCCAGAGCGAGGGCCGGTTACTGGCCGCTGAGGGCAGGCTCAAACAGCAACAGCTGGACATACTCATCCTGGTAGGTCCTGTGTCTTCTCTACCTGGGGAGGTCTGAGCAGTGAGGGAGCTGGGGAGGACCCGGGCTCAGGGCAAGACTCCAAAAGGGATCATCAGCCTAGGGGCATCCCCAATCCTAGCCTGGCATGGCTGGTGCCCTGCTTGTGGCTTCCAAAACTGCCTGGGCCTTCCTGAATCCCTTTTCCTCTTTGGAGCTCATGCTGGAATGACAGACATAGATGTAACTCAAGGTCCAGTCAGCACACAGGGGCTTTTGAACAGTGGCCTCGACCGAGGCATAACCTTCACGTGGCTTGGCGGGGTAGCATTAAAGAAAGGCAGATGTTCTGGGTCAGGGTCCTGAAGAGGTTGCTGGCTTGACTCAGATACACTCAGGGCCTCCCTAGAGGATGAGACTGGGGTGGGGCCCTCCCTATGCCCTGCACACCCCATGTCCAGGTGCTTAGAACCCCTGTAGCGAACTGACCCATTTCCTTTTCTGTGGCCGCAGAGCTCTGACTTGGAGGATACTTCACCCAGGAACTCCCAGGAGGTGAGTGCAATCCAACGGGTGGGCACAGAGTGGGCCTCTCCCTGGCCTCCAACCTCCCTCCGACCCTACACTCATCTCCCACATGGTCCTGTCCACCCGAACTGGACTGTCCCTTCTCTCCCACTTTGGGCTGGTTACAGGGAAGACAGCTGGCCAAAGTCTGGGGCCTTTGTGAGCAAAGTGAGACGCAGTCCAATGCCCACACCCTGGCCTCTTAGGACAGGAACTTCATGCTTCCCTTTACCCGTTGGCCCGACTGGGACTGAGCCCCAAAGATCTCTGTGCAGATCAAGTGGGCAGTGGGGGAGGCCACATCTAGTCCTGGAAGAGCAATGGTGGCTTGTAGCATGGATGGCCTAACTGAGTGGCATGTCTCTGTCTGGAAGCTCTCACTGCCTCAGGACCTGGAGGAGGATACCCAGCTCTCAGACAAAGGTGAGCAGGTGGGGGTACCAGGCACCGTCAGACCCTCCCCTAGCCCAGAGGCACCTGGGCTAGAGTCTCCTGGGCCTCCCAGAACCCTGGCCCATCCTCAGCACACAAAGCTGTGTGACTTACTCTGTCTCAGTAGTCACACCACTCCAAGGACAGAGAAACTGAGGCAGGGAGTGGCAGTGGTGAAGAGTGGTGAAGGACTAAATGTTTAGGCTCA